AATATTTTGTTGTTCTTCCTTTGGTAACCTATCCTTAACCTTCACCAATGACGATCTTATAGTGTCACATGTTCTAAAATACACTCTTATATCATGCTTGTTTAAGATCCGTTTGATTTCTTCCGGTGTTTCACTACGGTATGGTATGACTACAGTGGACTTCCAATCTTGCTGTACACATTGTAGTTTAGCTTTTCTTTCCTTTCTAACAATCTTCTTTAAAAACTCTTTTGGGTAATTGTTATCCCTAAGTGTAGATAAAATCCCATTGAATTCAAATTGTTGGTCTTCCTTATCTGTAACAAGCTTAAGACTTCTGTTAATTAAATTTTTAACAACCGTAACTTTCGTACATAAAGGATGAGCCGAATCAAAATCTAAGTATCTCCTCTCTGAATGTGTTGATTTTCTGAACACATTTATTTTCAAATTCCTATTATTAAGTCTTCGCTCAACCATACAGTCGAGAAATGCCAGTTTGTGTTCAACAGACTCTATTTCCTTCGTTAGATTAATTTGTTCCGAAATGTTGTTCACATTTGCAAACAATTCTTGCAAATAGTCCTGTTTAATGATAACAAAAATGTCATCTACATACCTTAGCCAGACCTTTGGTGGACAAACACTTCTTGCGATTGCACTAGTTTCGAGTGAATGCATGAATAAATTCGCAACAATCGGAGAAACTGGTGAACCCATAGCTATACCTTCTTTTTGTCTGTATAGATCTCATCGAAATATGTATAAGGTGGACCTTAAACATAGTTCCAAACATTTGATAAACTCAGATGGATCTAACGGGCAACATAAATTTAAATCCAAATCAGATTCTAAACAAGCATAAATAATATCCAACGCTTTGTTGATAGGTACGTTAGTAAATAAGGAAGAAACATCAAAACTTGCCATTACTTCATCCTCTTCTATGTCGATGGTATCAATAATATTTTTAAATTCCATAGAGTTTTTAATTCCATGATTAATCAGTTTTTCATACGGTTTTAGTATCCTAGCTAAGTATTTCGCTAGGTTTTACTTGTTTCCGCATTAAGTTTATTGAGCGTCGTTCTGCTTTTTGCATCTTTGATTAGTTCATAAGGTCCCTCTTGTAGATGTTCCTTGTTTTTTTTCGTAGTCAATTTTGTTCATAATGACTGTAGTGTTACCGTTATCTGCTTTTGTAATGATAATTGTCTTATCATTTCTCAGTTGCTTCAATGCATGTAACTCATTTTTAGTCATATTAGATTTTTGTGATTTTTGACGTAATAACGCGGACATTAACTTATTCCTCAATTCATTCGCTGTTTCATTAGGAAGTATATTCAATGCTGGTTCAATTGCTGGTATAATATTGAAAGGCGATAATTGTGGTCTATTTATATTGAAATTGAGACCCTTTTTAAGTAATGAAATTTTATGAGAGTTGAGAATTCTATCAGATAAATTAACTAACACTTTGTTAATATCTACTGTGTTCGATTTATCTCTAGTTCGTTTAACTTTGCTGCTTGACGTATAGAAACATATCAACACTGAATATCATTCATTAATAACTCATCTTACACATACATACACACACACAATTCATCCAGTCTCCTTTAATTCACATCGTTGAACTTTTCACTTGATTCTCATTCAACTGACTCATATTATCCTGTTTACAAAAAATTCGAGATCCAAATATGATTGGATTAAAAAGTAATAGAGATTTTGATATGATTGTTAAAAAAAAACATTATATATTTCTTTGATGATTTTGATTTTGATTATTTCCCTGAAGAAGTCCAGACAAGTTAGCTGGACGAAACGTTGGAATTATTTATATTTCAATCGCTGAGACTATTCCAAATATAATAATTTTTTCACATATAACGTATACATAAGAAGCTTCAAGATTTTTCTCCAATAATTTGCTCGAGCTGATCGGTTTAGAATTAGCCAATCAGCGCGCAGCAACACCATGATGCATGAAACATGCTTTAATCCAATCTATGTCCCGCTAACACTTACTATGAAGATATCTGATTCGTTATGTTACATTAGAGTATATGTTTGCTGAATGTTCTACATAGCATCAGTTCACGATATTGTTGACCGAGGAAGTGAGCTGTAAAGGGAGGAGTGGATTTCGTGGTGAGATACACGTGATCAGTGGCTGAAGAAGCTGAGTATTTGAACTTTGTTGTAATGGCACAGTCATTCTCTTTTTTATTTTTTTTTTTGTAATTATAAACTCCATAATCCCGTTTTGGCAATTCATCTTTCTAATATCATTATGGTGTGGTATTATGATTTAGTAATTTGAGCTGAAGCATATTTGTGCCTGTTTTCACACTGTTTCGGTTGACTGATTCTTCTAAAAATGAAACTACTCAGAAATGCACATCCATAACTCCTCGACATTAAAGAGCTCCATACTAGGACGAAACAGTTGTTCAGAGCTTTCTGGTTTCTAATGGTTGTCTAATCTTGGTTGGTTCGTAATTTCTGTAACATCCAACGATTTTTACAAATCCCTTACAGTGGTAATGAATTTTGAGTTGAAATATTTTAATGCTTATTTAAAAGTGATATGTTAATTATTATATACCGATGAGAATAATGAATGATAACTGTTGGAATCTATTTCTGGACTAACACTATACATATATTTTTATTGTATAATTGTTAAGTAGCTAGACTATGTATAATCATATTTTTCCTATTACAAGCTTTATTATGACCCATGCATTATTATTATAATACGATTTAAGGTTCTTGAGTTATGCCTAGTCTATTAATTACAGTCTCTCATATTCACAGCCACTGTTGGGTAAATCTTGTACAAATGTTATTTTCTATTTTATGGTGTGATGTAGTCAATTTGGTTTGTATATAGACCCATTATGTTTGAAATATATGATTTATATCGCAGAGGCTGGGATCGGTGTTTTTGACTCAACGGGCAGGGCTAGGCAAGAAGAAGGACTGATAAGGACTGTAGACTGCTCGTACGACTTTTATGAGTCATTGATCCGATCGATAAACCAATTTTCTCTAATTGGCGGTATCATTACATCATACGTCGGTAGGGGCACAAGGCCACAAGTTATAACACTAATAATTCAGAATAGTAAAAAATAGAGAAAATTTTCAATAAACAATATCTAACTTTCTTATAGATCAATCTTTCTTTCAGCTATCATTCAAACTTTTTAATTGAACAACCGATTGTATGCCACAAAGTACACTTTATAGTTTTATTTCGCTTAGAATATTATATTGAAATTATTACCAATCATTATTCCTGTTCTTTTTTATAATCTACCAGAATTCTGGCTGTAATTAATGCAATTTAACTTTTTTGTAAACAGGGAATGAATCTGATTTCTTTAAGTTCAATTGCAATTTGACCAGTACAGATGTGGTTTTTTTACCATTATGTACAATTGGAAAACATTTTGTTAATTTTAATTGTTTTTTGATTAAACAGTTGGATAATGATCATAGCTTTGTATTGATAACTAATTAATTTAGCTACATGAAGTACTGCTTGAAATTAGTTATGGACAAACGCTAAATTTTTATACAGTAGATGTTTTAGAAAAACAAAGGACTTGTTGTTTTTTTGTCGTGCATCGAAGTGAAAAGAAATGAATGAGTACCAATAGTTCTTATAATACAGACTGTAAAAGATACAACTTTGAATATAGATCAAGTAAATTTCTCGCATTCACATTTCTGAAAAGCGATATATCAAAGTTACCGATCTTGAAAAAGACTTGAAAATGTCAGTTATATTTTAAATGGTTGTTTTATAGATATCGTTTCAACTTGTACATACTCTATTTTTGAAAATAAAGTTTAATGGTGCAACTATTGTTAGTCTTATGGAACTTTAAGGCATTCACATCTTAACAGGAATTGTATTTTATATGAACCATTTACATGATAACTTTATATTGAATTACAATAATAATTTTACATATAACCGACAATTATTTTTTTGGTGTTTATTGAACTCTTACTAATCTGTGATTGATAGTTTATTATGTAAGTCAGTATAAAATCTGGTATATTACTTTATTCATGTGAAAAGAATCAGTGAGTGTTTTTTTGTGACTACATCAAGTGTTCATTTGATTATCTTATATAAATCTATAAAAAGACGTTTAATCTGTTTTTAATTAATAGATGGAAATATCTGCTTCCAATTATTCTAACAGATGAAGAAATAAAACTTGGAAACATAAGTAGGAAATCAACGACCTAGTTGCACACTTTATGTTTTCGAGCGACGGTTATTTCTATTTTGTGAATGTTGAAGTTCCCTAAGAATTGGTGTAAATAAATTCTGAATTTCCACTTGCTTAATATATTGTTAATTAATAAGTGTTAACTTGTCTAATTAGTCGACTGGTTTGCGATAAATAGCCACTGAAAACGATAGAGCACTGGAGAGATATTTTGCTTGAGAGATATTTTACAGTAGGGCTAACCCACGATATCATCGAGAATCGAATCCGATACTTTTACGGTTTATTTTGAGTATCTGATGTAAATTATGCCCAGACTGAACATTACGTGTGCATTTTTTTTCTATGATAATTATGTGATGTTAACCATTACCTATCTTTGGAAAAATTCTTAAAGTTGTAGTTAGAATCAAAGATTGATGAAGGTAGAACGTTTTCGGAATGAAATGAGTATCATCGACAGTAATGGATGATGATCACGAACTACCCTCTATTGAAGCTGGAAATGTAAACCTTTGAATATCTGCTCAGTGACCTGAAAATAAGGCTCTTACCGAATAATCTGAAGATCGTGAACTCGAACAGTGTCAGAGCTGCGAGTGCACAACGATGAGTAGCTCCAAAATCAAATAAAACCTTTATTCATCTTTCTCTGATTTCCACTAGTTATCCGACAAAATTTATTCTTTTAACTATTTTCCACACAAGTATTTTGTCGCGCAAATAATAAGTTTTGATTTTATTTCTACTACAATACTTTAGTATTCTAGAAATCTATCTAATGTACCAAACAGAAGTGTTTCTGTCAAAACGATAACACTACAAAATTGTAACGATAATACTACAAACATTAGATGTCCTAAAAATTCTACTTCTACACTCCCACCAAACCTAAACCATGCAACTACATTTGATACTAATCGAATAACAAATAACAAACCGATATCACACAATTCCTCTACTAGAACTGCTATTGTTTCAAGTTCTGGTATAATAAATTATCCATCAAATAGTTTTACAAATACTGTATCTCCCGTGGGATCATTATCTTCAGTGGTAAGGTCAAATTCTATCGGCAATTCATTAAATATTAATCAACCAACTTCCATAACCACAAGTTCTGGACTAATACAAGGTGAAAGTAGTTCAGCAATCAATGGTAAATGGAGATCAACTGACAAACATGATTCTTATGAATTATCAAAAGTTCACAATGGAGGTGAGTATAGTGTTAAATTCATAGTTGTCTATGTAGTTAAATGAATGTACATTTTTATCATTCAGTAAACACGGTAAAAGGTGATGCCCAAATTTTCACACAAAAGAAGACATTTTGAAAAGAAGCTATGTGTGCTTAGCATAGCAACCGATACTACAACATCATACTATGATGAAAAAGACTGTGGATTATCACATTTTCGTTAGTTTGAATTTAGTTTTATTCATTTTAATTTAAGAAATATAAATAGCGTTTGTAGCCTCCATTGGTTAGCTGGGCTTAAAAGCCCTAGACAAAATCATGTATTTGGTAGCAAAAGTAGAATTAATTTAATCTTGGTCTATTCGAAATATTCCTGAACAAAGCAAAACTCAAAATTGATCCCATTAATGCGTCATTGTTACTTACTGAATTGTGACTGTTCAATTCCAAAGGTAAATCACGGACGCCTTTACATGTAAATGCAGATAAATTGTCTTGATATATCCGTAAACACTTTCCTAGTGTAGACATCAGGAATTTTATTGAATTCTTATCTTATTATTATAAAAATCAAAATTAATTCATATGTTTCTTGATTTAACAAAGAAAATGGTGATGCAAAGTCCTCGGATAATACAAATCTACAAAGGTTAGTTGGGTATACAACTGATAGACCACGACAAACTGGTAGAAGACTACCTACAAAGTTATCTAACGCTACGAATGCGGCTCCTGTAAGTAATAAAAGCAATGATTTTTTTTTGTTTTGAGTTACAAAATAAAGTCGGTCACAATGAAATAATTTGTATGTTATTTATGAACTGTATTAGCTGATGTTATACGAAATTTTTCACAGTCATTATAAGCAGGTTATGGAGTCAATTAGTTAGTCAGTCAGTCAGTCGCAATCATTGTATAATCTGGCATTAATGAGGGTCAGCCCAAGTTGCCATACTACATCAGCACGATGAGATGAAATAAACAAGGTAAATAGAAAAAAATCGAGGTAATTTAGTGGTAATGACAATGGGAAAGACTGAATATTGGTAATATAAATAGAAAATAAGGAAATAATAAGTTAACTTTTATCTGTGGAAACAGCAAAACACAGTGATAAAAATTGTTAAAGATTACAAATTGTGTGAAAGTATATACTAATTTTCTTTGCTGATAAAACTTGTAATACGACAGTTCTTGAAACTTTATATTAAATTTCCTCAACAGCAGTAAGATAAAATTTACTTGTCAAGCTTCATCAGTCGAAACAAAATGGATTGTTGAATTTCATTGAGACAGGAATTCAATGTAAGAAGATGCAAACTTGCAAATCATTCTAGACAGTATTTTATGTCTTATATTTATAGATGGATATATTGCTCAGAAAATGTTGCTTTCATATTGAACGGATAGAATATTTGTCATAGATGATTTACTTGAGTATATAACAAGCTTTTGTAATATGATTAAACTTCTTGACCAAACTTAACAATCTTTTGTCAGTATAAATCATTGACAATGTTGTGTGTCATGGACGCTGACGTTTTACAGCTTGAGGTTCTAGTCGATATTTTGTGTTGCATGGGTCAAGCAGGGTTCAGATTATCAGTTAGTTTATATACAGCAAACTGATGAGTTTTTCTTCACCGATTGACGCACCCACCTAGGAACGACATCAAAGACCTTAACACTTATTGTTCCCTGAGCTCTTTCTAACCCAGTAGCCAATCAGGAAGTAGACTAGTTCTCTGTTGTACTCAATTTAATTCACCACTCGCACAAGAAGTTACTGGAAATGACTGACCACAGAACACACCAATCGAGAGATCATACTTTAAACACAATCATTTCATAAGTGGTAGAAGCCTGAGCAAGAGGTACACAACTAAGAAGCAATAACTAAGGATAATAAATATATTACAACAATCGTCAGGTCCACTGGAATTTTACAATAAGGAAAATCTAGAAATGAGGTGATGAAGTTATCTACTAAGTATAAAACAAAATATATATAATAATAGTGCCAAAAATAGTCCTGAATATTCCAATATTCGTCCTGTTTTAACAAGTAGCTAATTTTCAAACTTCAGTTCTTTCGATCTGATACAAAATTGAGGAAAATTTGTAGCATAAAGGTGGGAATAAATCAATGAAATATTCCTACAAACTATAAATACTTTCATGTCAATCATTATGTAAAGTTGTTGAAATCGAATCTCATATTGTCCTAAAGATATATTTATTTAAAAAAGTTCTACATCACAAATTGGCGTTACCCAGAAACCATTTAACATTGAATATTTGTTTACTTATATAATATATAACTTGGATTACTAAATGTTTGTTTGATAATAAATATATTTCTTTGTCATATCAAAATGTAAATGTATGTAAATAACATTTATATAAATCATCTAAATAGATTTTTATATCAAGTGTACTGTTCAGTAATGATGCTTTTTTCTTTTAAATATTATTTGTACAATCTTAGTAGTGTAATGCTTTATAATACACTCAGACAAAGAAATACACATAAAGTAGTCCTCTTAATGGTAACATAAATGGTGAATATTAATTATGAATGTCATGAAATGTACATGAAAATGAAGAGTAATTCATTCTTACTGCTTTTCATCAGACAACATTTTATATATGACATATTCAAAAGTGACTAAATGTGCTTAGTGTGTTTGTCTTTGATACTGCCAACTAAATTACCGAAATAGTAGCATTTTGTTCAAGTGAATATAATAGTTATTATAAAGGAGATTCAAGCTAATACGATACTCAGCACTGGTAAACCTATATTATTATTTCTATCTTTTCTTCAACAAAATGAGAGATAAATCCATTGGAATTCAACCTACTTATGTATGACGAATGGAAGAAGTTCGTGGCAGCTGAAAAGATAGAAAACTTTAAGGAATAAATACAAGTTGAAAATACTGATTATTATAAACATTTTTAAAACACGTTTTGAATAATTATAATTTGAATATGTGTTAAATAGATATTCGTTGCCATATAGCACAACAGGTGCTGAAAATTATTTAGTGTATCAAAATTTATGATATCGAATAAAACTATCGTTATAATTATAAATATGATATTATCCTAGTGCTTAGGGGTAATAGAATCCTACCGATAAAGTTGCCATGAGACAGCTGGCTTAGGTAATTCAATAACATATCTCTGACTGTGACACTAGATCACAAGGGTCCAACTCGTACAAGTAGCGTAAATTTCAAGAAGATTTATATGCTCCTTACTGATAAGCGCTACTTAGCTTTGGTACTTGGTCCAAAGATTCCAATCTGCTTTTTTAAGCCATCTAAGATTAGTAAACAATTGTGATATATGGTATATGAAGGTAGTCGACAGGAAACTCCAAACCTAGGCTTTGTTCTATTTGGAACTCGTTACTTAAGTGTAACTGTAATTTTTAGTGAACTAGTGTTCCATCGGGGATTCCTTTCCTTGTCACTAAGTCTAAGAGAGTACCATTGAGATAACTGAGCCATGACTGTTATCCAGACTAACTGCGATAGATTTACAGTTGATTGTTATCTTGATATTGATGAACTCAAAACTTTATAAACATAGCTTAAATAACTACCAGTTATAAACTATTTTATCTGATGCGAGTTATAATTAATTTATTTCGAACACTAGGAATTCTCTTGAACTTTGTTTGGATCAACTGAGTCGACATACTTCTAGCTGAGGCCAGTAATTAATAATAAATTCTTTACTTTCCTAATAAGCCGCATATTTATAGATATCAACCTTTCATAGTAAAATAAAAAAAAGCTGTTTAAAGTTTCATTTAATAATTAATCAGATACATAACTGTGAATGGTTATTCACTGGAAAGATCTGTCCAGTGCTTTTAACAGTTGGTTGATTCAAACATAATTAATTACAATCTACAGAATTCACCTGTTGAATATTTTTAAATTATTTTATAGATATAATTTAGAACAAACGTGATTATTGAGAAATAAAAATGCTTTTCGTTTATACAAATTTTGTGGAACTAATTTTTGTATATCTGAATCGTTGTCATAGTTACCTGAAAAAATTTGACAACTCTTATAAATAAATAGTTATTTGTTTTGTATTTAAACAGGAAATTAAATTTGTTAAATGAAACTTAAATAGAAACTATTTTACCATCGGTTTTATGCTTTACTAATAATTAGTTGCTAATGTCTATCAAAAATATCTTGATCTACAATATAACAGAAAGGTGTATCATTACACCACTGTAAATTTATTGCTGTTCTATGCTGGATATCCAAAACTCTATATAGAATTAAGTGATCACTGATTTTCCTAATACTGATAAATATGTCGTCTTATTAAAATGAATCATTCACTGTTGGAAATATGATAATCAACTACTAAAAACAGGAAAACAACACTAGCTAATGAAGGTTAATCACACTTTACACTAAAGCTGCAATAAACGCATCCTTAAAACAAAAGTATTCGTGACGACAGAATTGTAAATGCGTTAGGAAATTTTCGGCATTTATCTACACCAGTGCATAGAAGTAGTTGGTAACAACTCGTTTCCTCCTGTTTGACAGTGACGTTTTGAGCCAAGTATTTTTTAGAGCAGATATCTGATGGCATTTTAAGCCTGTAGTTTATGTTCCCAAATGACACATCATCTTCTCTTGAATTTCACGGAATTTAAAAATTCTCATATGCAGCAATTGTTAAAAAGTAATATCCCTAAATTTCATACTGAATTAAAATGTGAGTGAAGGATTTTGAAAATATAAATTAGTCACCAACCAGTCAGTATTTCGATTGATTGTTCAACTGATAATTATGGGCAGTAAATATGTTTGCATATCATATTTACCAAGCACTGACCAAGCTAATCACTGATTAGAATTATCATCCTCATTTTTATGAGTAATAAATAACTACTGACGTGAATTTCACGTATCTTAGAACATCTCCAGTATGAATTTATTACAAGTCTAATATAATAATAAGATTTACTCATTAGTTTACTGCGTTAATAATGCACTTTTTATTTATTTAACATTGTAATAGGACATATGAGTCTAAAGATAATGCTTACTTGTCATCAAACTGTGCGGCAACTTACGCAGTAAATTCTAACTTGTCTACAACCATAAAGACTTATCCACAAATGAATTCTGTTAAAAAGTGTTATACATTTATAGCTTACGGGGATTTTTGTTTAACTAAAAAATAGGATATTTCGAGCTTAACTTCACCAATAAAATAATAATTACTGTTCTAGTCACTTTTAACTTTCATAACGGAACAAACCGTTACTTTTTTCAATCCTAGGATTTTATTCATACATTAAATACTCCTATTCGAAGTAGTATCGCAGCGTCAAAACCAAATGATGCTCATGTGCATGATGCACCTACGACTAGGACTAATGTTGCATGTTTATCAGCGAATCATGAAAACAATGTTGGTTCAATGAGTACGGATCAAATCGACAAGTCTAGTGAATCGACGTACAAGCAACAAGGACGAACACCTAGTCATGCTACAAATCCATCACGTGCCGGTAAATAAGTCTTTTTGACGATTAACTTGATTATTTATTGGTTATTCCTTATTTTTTTTACTGAGATCTACACATTTTGAATAGTTATTGAAAACTGTACTCCTGAAAGACGGAATTTAGCTTATATACCAATTATAGGAGTATTTATCCTAACTTTTATTCATATGTTTGTGTATTTGACTTGGTGATACTTACTGGATAATGTAGGATACAAATGTGGGACAGTTGAATGTTGAGTGCTTCAACCAGTAAGCCATCACCTTCAACTTCGGAGTTGTACTTAATTAAGAGTTGATTTTTATTGATTTTGTAACGATGCTTTAAAATGACAAATTTTCACGGGAATCGCATATCCTTATTTTTCAGCCATTTTATATCTCTACAGAGATAGAGAATTTGTTAATTTAAAATACTCCATTCTGTCCTCATTATTCATGTTAGCTATTTAGAACATCTAATCTGAATTAGTTCATCATAAAATCATCTTGAATAATAATCTATGAATTTTTACTCTGGATGTACGATTGTTTAACCAAAGATGAACACTCAATGAGTCGATATTATGTAATTATTCATATTCTAATTAATTTTGATAACAAGGAAAGTTTTTCGATTAGTATATTGTCTAAATGAAAATATTATAAGTTATATTTTCCTTCATTGAATCAATTTTATTGTTCGTTTCATGATTATTTTACCGATCTCAACACTAATTATGTAACATTTATAGGTAGTTTTATGACAATAAAAAAGAATAAATTTTAAAGTTAAACTTTTAAAAATGTTCAAGTGAACTAAAAAATCCTCTTATTGTCTTGCAGTAAATCAATTAACAGAATATATGTAGATAATGCAGTAGTAGTAATTCAGTTGTTAGGAAACGGGTACTAGGTAAGGATGGCAAATCGATTGATGAAGTAGTGAAACTTCATCAGTTGAGATGGCTGGGACACGTGTTACGTATGCCCAACCACCGACTGCCCGGACGTGCAATGCTTTATGGTGTAGGAGTAGGTTGGAAGAAAGCTAGGGGCGGTTAGACCAAAACTTGACATAAATCCATGAAATCGCTGACAAGTGGACTGAGCCATGTTGGTAGGTGTAGACTACCTGGTTGGGATTCGCGAGATGATAGCAACTGATGGTTAGAGACCTTGAATGACGTGGCTCAAAATCGTATGGCAGCTCGAACTGATGTACGTACATACGAAGTTCTACGCTGTGACTGACTTATATATGTAGATAAATGTGAGTGCATATAAGTAGAAAGTGAAGTTTACATTTTTACTTAGTAAATAATAAAATAAGAATGATTTCATAATTAACACTTTAAAGTTGGACGTATAAGGATCATAAAAGTATAGAACATGGAATTCGTATTGATTTTCAACTATTATCATGACGTATCTTTAAATCCGGAGACTGTATATCTCTTATACGGAATAAAACTTTAGTCACTGAACACACCACAGTCATATATTTTATTTTTTAAAAAACAACTAACTATTGCATAATTGCAATATCTACAAATAGTTGTTTTTGAGCGTTAGTCAGTAATATAACATAATATGAACTACCGAAATCGAATAGCCTATCAATATATTTAAATGGACTTTGGTAATCCACCTAAAAACTTTTACTTATCTATTAACATGACATCCTGTATAGCTTAACTGTCGAAAGGATGAACTGAGAAACTATACTCAGTTTAGTAGAAATAAACTACGCGTTAATCCTCAAATAATCATCATAAAAAAATGAAAATGAAATTACAGTAATGCATCAAAACAACCAAACTAATTTAATAACGATATTTTTGCTACCGTCATAAGCTCTTTCATTAGAACTATTCAACTACTTTTGTTGGAATACCTCAAATATGAATAGTGAAACATTTCATCATACTGGAAAAATATATATTGGAATTGAACACCTATTCATTGCTTCCTAATCTTCCTTGGTTATCTTAATATTATCAGTTTGTGATTTTAACCATGAAATTCAATAGCCTTCGCAAACTTTCTGTAAATGAATTAATAATGTTACTTGCTCTTTTTTATCGATAGGTTTCTTCACGAAATACAACTTTCTTTTCTATGTATTTAACCTGATTACATAACATAGTAAAATAGAGTGGTTGAAATAGCTGATTCAAATGCACTGAAGCACACTAGTTAATTTATATTTTGCATTGAGGTTTTGTATAACCCTATTTAATATTATTTCTTATACAGCGTATTTGATCGCTATATAAGATTTTAGATATCAACTTTATTGTTCTTTAAATTTGTCATTGTTTATAAGCGATTATTCCAGACAATTGTTCTCAGACCCATAACCACATCCTCACTTAGGTCGATTTTTATCTTGGTTTTACAACGTCATTGTAATTCACTATGAATTTTGATTGCATAATTTTATTATTTGACAAATTAATAACATAATTACGACTAATAATGAAATTTCAAGTTGTTATATTTATGTTACATGTAAAATTCCGCAATTTTGGCGACCTTCGACACCATACTGTTTTCCTCAGTTCGCGAACTACTGTCAGCCAGAATGTTAGCTGTAAATAATTTCATTTGACAGAACCTTTGAAGAAAACCTTGTTTAATATTTCCACTATTCCGTTTGCTACTACGTTTTTATCAACCAAATAATATTTTTACATAATATCAAAGTGTCTTATAAGGAAAATTTAAATATGCGATTTGTGTTTGTCTTACAATATTCTTTTGAAGAGAAAATTCTTAAGTTTTGCCCGTTCGTTCGGTTTCCTTGAGTTATGTTTCAATGTAACTGTTCTTATTCATAGATTTTTTGAAAGTTCTTAATGCTGCTTTATGTATTAAAAGTAGTCAAATATGTTCAACATTAATGCAAAAGTTGAGCTAAAAATTCCAAACCTTTTCGATGGAAGTTGGATGTATGTAACTATTATAGTGATAAATAAATCGCATTAGGTCACAGTTTTGTTCACATTTTCAGAAAATTTTAAAATGTAGTTCCTTTATTAGTCCATAACATGAAACTACTAGTTTCTTACTTTAATTCATTCTCACAGAAATACCTCTTATCAAGCCTTTCACTCTTAACGTAACGCCTTATTGATGGTGACTTATTTTATACTGTCTCGAAAATCATATTAAATGTTGCACTCTTCCTAAAATATTTAATTTTCGAATACAGTTACTTAAAGCTACCCTGATTTCACTTTAGAATTAATATCATATTTACATTCAAGCTCATTTTAAGTACAGATTCTTGGAGAAGTAACCAACTTATGTAACATAAATCTCAGTTTATGTGATTTATTTTTCAATGCTATATGACTTGTTGCTATTCAGACATGTGTTCAACATGGCTTGCATTAAATTCCTACAAGCATGGTAATGGAATATCTTCTCTCGGACTGTGTCTATCAAATTGAAGCGTAACCTATTGGTTAAATGTCTAAATTTGTTATTAGAGTAATTTTATATTGTAACCTCTACAAAGAAAATGGGTATTCACTAATTTCCGCGTAAGTGAAGCATATTTATGTGTACTACTTATATGTACTAATTAGTTGCTCAACTAAGCTGACTAATTTCTTTCATTCATAAAACTGAGTACCTAAGTAATTTGATAACTCAAATAATCACAATGGAGAACCGTATTTTCTAAGACCTAACTTCGTTACTTAAACATCAGAACACCTCGTTTCTCATCTTGTCAAAAAGTATGTTTTGATAAAACAATTGAACGCCTTCATCTTTCACATCGTCATTAATCATGCAAATCGATGGCGCTGTAAACTTCGTTATCACTTAGATTCCCTTTGTTCAAATATACAGCAGTTATGTTCGTTTAAATTATGCATATTCATAGTAAAGTTCAATCACAATCAATGAATCTCAAACATCTGTCTGTTATACAGGTTCATGGGAATTTCCCTCAGTACAGGAATACATTTCCTTTGAGTTTAAACTTTATACAGGATATTGCTAATGTAAAGAATAACATTTTAATAGTAATTTATCTATACGAATATTACTGATTTATTTCACAGTTTTATTTTCACGTTAGATTACCGACTCGTATTACCACACATGTTTTTAATCTCTTTGATATTTAATGATGTTTAATTACAGCGTAAACGTTCGCGTTTGAATCAGAACGTGTTAACTTTTCCTTAAATTCTGTTTCTTACTTTTTTAGTCTTCTATCAGTTATTCCCGTTAGCCTCACATCAGCAATGTCTGAAAGTAATTATTTTATAATCTGAGTTACGCTTTCGTGTTAACCATTAATTTGTGTCCTGAAAATGACTACTTTCTTGATATATTATTTACATTATTCATCTTATCGATGTAATTCAGCTTCGGAAAACACAAAACATTTAAGATTGTCTAATCATCATAATGGTCACGCTTAGGAAGTTTTAAATACAACTGATTACGACAGTAGAAAATCCCTATATAACAAACAAAATTTATTTGTCACTAGGGGGGTTTTTGTGGAGATTTAGTAGTTTTATAGTTAAGATCATGAGTCAATTGAGGCTAGACCACCATCGAAAACCTGGAAGCACTGGACGGCCGTTTCGTCCTATTATGGGACTCCTCAGCCGGAGCCCTTAACCGATAGACCACTCAGTGGTCTATCGGTTAAGGGCTCCGGCTCGTGACTGGTAGGTCCTGGGTTCGAATCTCGCGAGAGCGGGTTCGTGGATGCGCACTGCTGAGGAGTCCCATAATAGGACGAAACGGCCGTCCAGTGCTTCCAGGTTTTCGATGGTGGTCTAGCCTCAATTGACTCATGATCTTAACTATAAAATTTATTTGATTCACAACACCTAAAACTGAAATTTCAGATGACTTTTAAGATCGTTTGGTGTTAGTATGACCTTTGTTTTAATTGGAACTTCTTGTTGTACTTGATTATTGCTCAGTAGTTCAAATGTTTTGTTCAAGATTTCTATCTCAGCAATTACTATTGAATGATAGTGTTTTTTGAACGGTTAATCAAATATAACTTAGGTAATCGTAATAAACAGTTATGCAAAAGTCCTATGGTTATCCATCAAATATCGTTTTGATGCCTGTTAATTTAGTTATTTTTATTACAATTTCAATAACTCAAAACGGATTATTTCCCATCTGAGTAACCAATGTTTTCAAAGCTACTAAAACGTGACTAAAACTTTTTAAGTGAACTAAAAGTAACTTTTTTAGAACCTAGCTTGATAATTCATGCGTTAGTAATGCGAATGAACATATTTCACATTTTGCTGGTCATAAGTAAAAAAACTTTTTAAGTCATTATTCTTTACAAATGTCTTGGTTTAAACACTACTCTTTAAAACTGAATTATACAAAGAATAATTTCAAAAAACTTTGAAGGAATATATAAATAGATAAACAAATCGCCACTGCGTGGTCGTCTGTGTTCATCTATTTCAGCTGCTCTAGGGACTTATATTACTTAATTTTATCTTTAGAAAGGAAATTTTAACTCCACTTCTTATGATTTCTCGAAAACGTTTTGCCATCACACTTGTCACATCAGGTCAACTAAGAGATTTACTGGTTCGTTAATTCAAAATTATGTTTTGTTATACTTAATTTAAACTAGTGCCTTTTCTGCTTTCAAAAGCCTGTTTACCTCTAGTACTCCACAGATAGTTAGATAAATTGATTGTTGATTGATATTCAGTTTTCGTGGTAATTTCTAAAATTAACTATTTTATATGTTTTTATATCTACCATTCATTCATCAGACATATGATTTAATTTGTCCTTCTTAATGTTACCGTTGTAAATAAGAACGTATTTGCATCGGAATACCGTGTTATGATTTTTATTATTGCTTATAAATTAGATAAACATAATCATTGTCTTTGATAGAGATACATTCTTCTCTTTTAGTGTGATTTCAAGTTGCAAAAAATACTATTTATCATTTTATTTCCTGAAAATAAGCCACTCACATGTATGCTTAATCTTGCGTATAAATTTACATTTAATTCATTCAGTTCACTTTGTGATATCGGCGTCGCCAATTTCTTGTACTTGAAAACGAAGATCCACTGCAAGTTCCACGGAGCCAAGTAAGAACACAAAGACTGGTACAAGCGAAAACTTATTCATTCAAAATACGACGACCCTAACCCAAAATATACACTCATTTGTATATTAATTTGTATATCTAATTGAATATTAATTTGTAAAACCGTTACATTAATGAAATAATAAAAAAATCTCATGCTGCATGTCATACTGAATACAGTTCATGTTAATTTAATACAAAGAAGATCATTCCAGATAAAATCGTACTGAAAGTGAGACCAATCTTATATTGAGCAAATTAACACATCAAAAAATGTTATTCTGGGCAGTTATCACACTGAATTAAAAATATACGATATCTCGCCCTTCTATCCGTCTGATCAAAATGGTCTTTACACAGTGAATGAAATCATCCATCTTGCGTAGTAAAATCCAATATCCAACATATTGTTTACCTATATCAACTTATCAGCTTTGTAACTTTCTACCCGATTCTCAATTTATTCGGAATTGATACTGATCAACTTTGTGTTCTTTTGAGAACATCTTACTTGTTTAAGGTTGTCTTAGAGTAAACTGTTTGTATCATCTCAAATTTTACAGTTTTAAACGGATGACTAGAAATCCCTTGCAGTGAGCTTTACATTGTTAAGTAACTATGACAGTACATATTGTATTAAGATTTTCTTTAGAAATATTTTGACTTACATAGACACTTTTATGTATAAAATTGGATAAGACTGCATCTAAAGATGCAACTCTATTCAGTTCCTGAGAAAAAATTGACTAAACATATAAGGATATTAAACTGAATTTCAAAAAATTCCTAGGTAAATAAGTAGAAGATTTATAGTGTGCCTAAAGTATAATAATAAATAAATATATCTGATTTGTTATAAACGGTTCTTTGACAAATTAGATCTCCAATTACTGTATAAAGGACGCAAACGTTAGATTGTTAGGTGTTGATTTTTGTCACGAGTTGACACCAATTCAAGCACCATAAGAACCCAGAGAACACTAAGCAGCTGTTTTGTCCTATCTCTAGACTCCTCACTTGTAATCGACAACTACCCCATTATTAAATGGACTCAGGACCTTCAGGTTTTGTGAAGAGTATACTGTCTTTAAGCCAATAAACTGTAATTCACCAGTTTGAATGTTCAACTGGTGATATTTTAAATGCTACCTGAAATTACGAAGACTGAACTGTAGGGGACAATATATATTTATGTCATCTATTAAATCTTATAAATAAGACGTTTTTCATAGAAATACTTTGGGTGAATTCCAGAGTAATTAGAAAGTAAAATAGAAAGAGTTTGACGCATTTGTACCTCGAAGCAAGCGAATAGTGAATTTATTTCCATTGTAAAAGAAGAATATAGCTGTCATAACTTAGTAAATTTCAAAAGGAAACTATGTTTGTAAACTAAGTCAATCGTTGAATTATTACACTTCGGATGCGTTTTACCCCAAAAATAAGTTGAATGTGATAAAATACAGTGAATAAATCATGTAGATTAATTTTAAGAGTAATTCTACTAGCTAGTGTTTGAGTTTTATGCTTAAACTTTCATGGTTCAATGTTTACAACTGGTTCAGTATTCATCAGCCAATCTTTGATAGTTAATGTATCGTAGTTACTATAACAAAGTTGTTTATCTCATTTCATCTAATGTTTAATAATAAGATGACACAATATTCAAGTGATAACCTTTATTAACTTTGTTTTTCATTTATTATCACATTCCTTAGCTAGTCTTCAAAGCAGTGAAAGCTCAAATGGTTCTACAGAACTAAATCGAAGCTCTGAAAATCTACTCATCTCATCAAATCAAGCAGTGTTAAATCACCGTAGTAAAATCCAACAAATTGATATACAACATCAATTTGACCAATTTCAAAGTGAGATTAGACAACAACTACATGATATTCGTCGTGAATATGATACGTTAAAGGTAATTTCAGTGTTTTTAATATTAAAGCTAAATAAGTATTATTTAAGAATATTATTATATTGAACTATGCTTCTGCTTGAATTTTATTCGAAATTCTTCACTTATAGACACTATATTTATCATACTGGATAGAATACTTTAGTTATTATCAAATCTAGACTAGGATTGAACGAAATAAACCGGTAAAATGATAGAAAATTTTAAAGGGTGTTAAAACTCCTATTTATAAATACAAAATATTTAAAACAGTCACTTGAATATTTTGCTACAGTAACATTAATGAAATGAAAAGCTGTACAATTATTAGTGTTCTTCCAGGATCAAATTAAACTACCGTAAATACAAGGTTCTGACTCTCAAATATGTAGTGACATGAGGTTCGCCGTTTCGGTGAACTTTTTGATGCCTATATTTTCACGAAACTTATTTCCGGGAACTACTGCACGATTTCCCCCTCTACCCCTTAAAGTGCTCTTCAGAACGTAAATGCCAGTTAGTTGGATGAAACAATTTTTCAAACCTAACTTGATCCAAAATATTTAATACATGCACATAGACGGGAAGTAATTTATGTTTTTCCACTCATTAAAACTATTCATGCTTAATCTGGCCGTCCACAACTACTATCCAACTGTTGTTTTAATAATTTAAAGGATATTCCAGACGCATTATTCGTTCGGTGTATGCTCTATACATTACTTTCTTAACAAATCTATGCATTTCACTAACCCAATTGTTATGAAGGAACCACTAGACGATAAGTAAGACTGACACTGATAGTGTGGTGAACGAGGACTCAGGTAGGTCAAACCGATTCATTGTTCACTACACATCAGTTGGTGCAATGGATTGACGTTTTCTAAAAAAATGAAAAAAACTTGACACTTAATATAACGCTACATCAAAGTGTATTTTTGCACAACACATAAATATTTACACAGGAAGCTTGTATATCAATTTAATCCAATAAATTACTGTTGTTTTTTGAGCTTAACAGTTTAATTGCAAAGCTTCCATTGCTTCTCTAAACATTAACATTAGCTTCTACTTCATGTGAAACAGAGCATATATGTTCGTAAACAAGCGTTTAATCCGTTCGTTCCAGTGAAGCTACTTTTAAGTGATTACTGTTATCAGCTTTGTTTTCCTCCCTTTCCCTGTTTAATATATTGTTTGTCTTATTTATGACAGTGTGGTTGATTACATTTTTCCGTTATGGAATAAATGGTAATCTCACTTCTACATTTGATGTAGGCTGTGATGAGGTTATGCAAGGTGACAATGAATACTTCCTAGGTAATTTGTTTAGTTTAGATAGTACAACAAGGAATTGCCCGATTGGGCTGTAAATTTTCCTCTTCATTTCAAAGTCATCTAAATTAGTAGATAGTCAAATAACAATTAATATCATATTCATTCATTTGACACAAAATTAATTCAACTTCGAAAATTTTCTCTAACTTACGGCTACAATTTTGACGCAGTTGACTTCAACTAAATAATTGTATAGGAAAGATTTTTTCGTTTTTACTATGCAGTTTAACGAAGTACACGCAATTTTGAATTATAATTCAACCACTTTGATTTCTTGCATTGAAATTAAAAATAATGTCTTGAGTCCAGTGATCAGTATCATCGACGATCTACAACTATGGTTCCTTCTCTTTAGCTTTATCCTGATTCTTAGCCTAAAATTTTCAATTTGGTTTTTATCGTCCTCTCTCGTTCACTCATAAAATAATACTTCCTGTAATTGTAAATAGTTTCTGGTTGAATGTAACATACATCATAGTCGGTTTAGTTGTAATCTAAACTAAAATTTCATCAATATATTTTTCACCTAATGATCATCAATCTAATTTTGCTTGGCTATTTCAACACAACTTTGTTGTTCTACCAGATTAATCCTAACCTTTGTGTAGATTTTCTTTGCATAACTCTCTGATTTTATTATTTAAATATTTAAATTTACATTATAGTTGTTATATTGGACCTATTCTATGGTTTTATGAATTTCTTTTAAAGGAAATGCATGTCCAACTTCGAAATGATTGGTTAAAAGGACAGAAGTCTTTAACTGAACGATTTCAAACTCTTATGAATGAACTTGATGAAATTAAGAAACTAAGAGCCAACGATGCTATCGAGTTATCTAGATTTCGTACAATTTTAATGCAGTTAGATGCAAATTCACTTATCGATTCATCGAATCACATTAATTTTGGTACTGCTGATTATGAGGACAAGTCTTTAACTGATACAGACTTTACAGAGTCGAATACAAATACTATAAACCAAAAAAGTGTTAATTTTAGAAAAAATCCTTTGAATGAAACTGAAGAAAATCCTAGAGATCAAAATGAGAACATTGGTTTATTTGATAATAAAAATCAAACAAATAAACTAAAATCAACATCTGTTAAACCTTCACTTCGACCTAGACCTGTTCCAACTTATGGGACTCAGTAATATAAGTAATTAAAATTCTTGTTATTTTTAAACTTTTCTGATAGGTTTTATTCTACTGGGTTATCACTGCAGAGGTCATTTACTTGAATATATCGGTTGACTTATATTAATAATTAAAACTGTTCAACGTATTTTAGTTGAAAGTTTAAACAATGAAAAGGGATTTTTGTACATAAATCCTTCCATTCAATTGTTTGCATTCATTCCTTTTTATTTCTAATAATTCCTTGTTTGCACGTACGTATACAGAAACATCTACTATGCGTTTAAATATTTCTACCTTGAAATTGTTTCATTAATTAAAAAACATTGATCATTTTATTTATTGCAGGTTATTTATTATAAATTCATCTGGTTTGAGTAAACACTATACCCATTTCACTTCGACTTACTGAGGCATAGTCACTTTGATTTGACCGTTAAATGTTACAATCTTGCTTTCCCAAGCTTATATCTCTTATTCTATAGTTTAAATTGATTTGGTTTTCGAGGTGAAACAATTACTTGACAAACAGATTTTGTTTCACTTTTATATTTTGATTTCATGCTATGTAAGCAATCTAGTTTGTCGTCTATTATGCCTTATGAAAAAATTATTCAGTATATTGAATATGTAAGCATATAAACCAACTCTTTTATAACCTGATAACTGAATCAAATATATTCCTTTGTTACATTAATTTGCAATCGGTAAATGAAATCTGTACGATAAATGGTGAACTTTCAAAATCCATAATATAATGTACAACTACAACTTCATTGAAATTTATTGATTTTAATAGAACCATTCAAATATATATATAGCTTTCATAAATCATTAAGAAGTCATTACCAAAATCTTTGCATGTTAAGCAATCACGATAAAAGCCGAAATTTATCAATTATGTATTAGCTAGAGTAAATTGTCGAATGAGTCAACCTTCAAAAATGACTCTGCGAATGTCCCTAAGATTGTAATTCTTGAGTCATTCCAATGGTTATCTTCGATATTTGACAGTTTCTATGATACACTCATGTTATTTGAAGAATAGTTTAAAACAACAGTCATAAACACTCTGTTTCTTTGAAAATAAACATGAAGCGTTCATAAGCAAGTCTTGGATGGGTGAAAATCTCTGTGTATTATGCAAAAGTGACCTCGTCCACAGTTTTGCAATGGTTGATGCTAATCACGGTCTAACATAGTCTAGTTTAGCACCTTATCTTCGGTGCTGGGTGGTTGGAGTTAATCGGTATAAATCCCTGGAACTAGGTTTTGTGCTATTCCAAACTCATCAGCAAGGAGAAGAATAGGTGTTACTTCCCATATTCCATCCACTGTGAGTTCGAGACCCAAACTCGAACCACAGGGGAATATGGGGTGATCTGATAATGGCATACAATACATTAAGTACACCAATCCACCTAAATAAGTGCACATTATCAGAACATCACCGTCATACTCCTCCAGGCAATCCTCGACAGATTGCATATCAAAGAGCGAACATACAAATACTCACTCACTTCTCCTCATTAAGAGTTGCTCAAATTTGGAATGCTATCCCGGACAAAGTGACTTAACAGACATGTACTCAGTCATGAATAAGCTTCTTCCTCGTGAACTGACTGTGTCTGACTCATGTCTCAAAAATTACCACGACTGTCATTACCGCATATCGGTAACTAACTTCTGTCTCACTTGTTGTCATCTCCGTCCCCACTCTTATTCTTTCGATTCCGTTAGCCTACACACTACCAATTACGTAGATGATTTACTTATTCCTGAGTTAATCGTCTTCTCACAGTACTGGGATCATCACTTGATTATCTTCACATTTTAGCCGACCAACATCTTATCTGTTGATGTGATAGCTGCTAGTATCTAGGATCTCTACTGCCCTGAGACAAACACACTCACTCAGACGACAAGATATACAAGTCCATAAGTTTCCCTTCTTCTTAAAATAATAAGTGGACACGGTAAAGATGGCAAGGTTTGCAGTAAGACTAAGACGAGGTCAGCGCGTGCAGGTCTTCAGTTCACTGTTGGTCGTGTACGTCGTCTTCTAGGTTAAGGCAATTACGCTGAGCGACTTGGTGCTGGTGCTCCAGTCTATCTAGTTGCAGTTCTCGAATACCTGACTGTAGAAGTTTTGGGGTTATGTGATGACACCGCTCATAATAACAAGAAGACTGACATCATTCCAAGACATTCATTCTATTCCAAAACAAATATCTGACTAACTGACTAGAATTAGTATGGTCGAGTGCCTAGACTACCATGAATTGGACATCATCAAATACCTGGAAGCGTACCAAAAACAGCAAGAAGTGATTGCGGAGAAACCAATCGATTTATACGAGGTCGTGACAGATATGTTGGATATTGAATATCTATGCTTATGATATTTTATTTATTTAGAGACAAATATCTAAAAACTAAGATGAACAACTTTTGTGCATAATTAAGTCAGAAAAATAATACCACGGTAACTGTGTTAATTATTATTTGAATGTCTTCAAATATTTTATATCTTAATTTTCTTGCCATCATTACTTGTTAGAACCTTATTCGGAGACTGTATTGAACTTTTTTAGTTCTGCCTGTCCAGTTGTTCACTACTTCCCTAGCTTCGATTTTCGCTTTGTCACACCAGGTGATGATCATAAGCTACATGGGTTCATCGATTTTTTAGCCTTTCCTATGGACCTCCTGAATTTTCTGTGAAAAGGATGCGACCGATCTAGTTCTAAGCAATATAGTTCAGTGAAATTGCTTCACGTCCACGTTTTCGAGAGAAGACCTATAACCATGTTTTTTGAAGTACATAGGTTTGTTAGTATTTTACCACGCTTGTTGATTTAGCCAACTCAAAACCCCCATGGTGCGTACGTATCCGGTACTGTCGATTCCAACGTTTGGTGCTTAATTCTCCATTAGAATGATCAAGTTTTTTCCTATGGATTTCTTTAGGATGAATCGCAGCCTCCCACAAAACTGGTGTTTATTATCTTCGGCATCATCACCGTAAGTGTGCAACACTGGTTGTCATCCATAGTAATCTCTCTTCATCCTAGAGGATGCTTTATTGATCCTGCATCCATGACATTCACATCCTGAAGGTACCCTATTGTGCTCCTTCTTACAGCATCATTGTGAATCTTTGTGTGTGCGAAGCATTTTCTTCTTCACTACCAGAGGACAACATCACTTTGTCAAAGGTAATCTTTTCTCGCTCGCGAGAGCGGGTTCGTCGATGCGCACTGCTGAGGAGTCCCATAATAGGACGAAACGGCCGTCCAGTGCTTCCAGGTTTTCGATGGTGGTCTAGCTTCAATTGACTCATGATTTCAACTGTGAAAATACTAAATTCTCCACAAAACCCCCTCTGATCTATAATCATATGCTCACTAGTGACTGACTTCAAGAGATATTTCCTTGAGTTCTAGTGGGAAGCAGTGGCCAGTGGAGTTCTGCCAGGTCTGTTGTAGAGATATCATCTCACTGAAGACAATTGGTGAACGGTCGCTCAATATCGTGGATTGGTTGAAGTTAGACATTAACACCGTTGGATGCCAGCTCAGTGGTCTATCGGTTAAGAGCTCCGGCTCGAGACTGGTAGGTCCTGAGTTCGAATCTCGCTCGCGAGAGCGGGTTCGTGGATGCGCACTGCTGAGGAGTCCCATAATAGGACGAAACGGCCGTCCAGTGCTTCCAGGTTTTCGATGGTGGTCTAGCCTCAATTGACTCATGATTTCAACTGGGAAAAACTTATATCTTGAATATTATTAATTTAATTGTGTTTTGGATGCGTTCGTTTTACTCAACCTCTGAAATTGAACTCCGGATATTTGATTTGTCTCTGTCTTTGGTTTGGTATTTGAAGGCTTTTGCTCCAGAAACATAAAACCGTGAAGGTTTGTTTTGTATTATTAGAGCAACATTTAGGTTGATTATTTGCAATTTGCGAATAAGCCTTGGTGCTTGAATCGGAGTTTGATTCTATTGAAATTTTGAGTTCGTAAGTTGCAAGTCGATCGACATACCGCACTTCAATAACAGAAGACAGCAAAATCTTGGACGTAACACCCACAACTAAGAATAGATAAAGATTCAGCACACGTTATGCAGGATATTTTGCTGACATCCCAGGGACCATGCATTAAACTTTACTCTCAATTCCGAGTTAGACACGACAAACCGTGAGCCGTAAGTGCCATCGCTAGATCAGAAAACACTCAAGAGCCAACCAACATGGCGGTTTATGGAGTACCTGAGCCAGTAGGTGATAGTTGGGATGAAACTCGATATGCAACTGTGGTGTTGGCTATCATGTAGCATAGGCATTTACACAGCTACTACAGTTATCGTGTACAGGCTGTCTCATCCGCTACACATCACATCCATTAGGTCTCCTTCCCTGAAGTCTGTGGACTTCAGAAGGTTCAGCTCCAATGATCGTGCATCTGGGAACCTATAAAGCTACATCACCTTCCCACCAGAATCAATGTGACGTTGGTTGGATAGGAAATCAAGTGGGAATGGTGCGCGCCGGAGGTCATCGAGCGATTAATAAGAATCCTCTGGATGATGATAAACTGGAGTTAAATGAAAAAGGGAATACCACCAACTGGTCGGAAGATAAAGGTAGCAATTTCAACATGTTTGGTTTCAATCCAAACACTCAAAATGAAAATTTTGCGTACAAATTATTTTAAAGTTAAATAAGTTGGAATTGTGATAGCATAGAACGGTTCAGTACAAAGATATCTAACAGTTACGTTGAAATATATGACAATTGCCGGTCCTTAATAACCTGACTCATGAACAACGAAAGTATTTGGTGATTAGACTAAGAGTACCGAAATAGAATAACAAGGTTGTAACAGTGTTGAAATTAGCATTATCTTGGGTTCAAATTAGATAATCGGTCAATGTTAACCACCACAAAGTATCTCTGAAAACTCTGGTTGTAGCTGCAACTTGTCATTGAGAAACAGATGAACACCCAAATCCTCAGCGAGAGTTGTTTTCAGGTCGAGCTAGCAGCTAAAATGCAAGCTATCTACAGACTCACGACCCAGAGAAAGCCTATAAACCAGGAGATCTGTTACCTCACGAAGCTAAATAGCAAAGATCTTGCTGCCTTAGAGATAGCAAATATGCTTAATGCCAACCAAACCGAGAGTCTACAAGCTCTGAGCACCTTTCAACTTTTTTGCCAGTCGGAAGTTAGGTTGACATGTCACAATACACACTGGTCATAGAAACAGAAGACAAACTTTCATGCACTAGAATATGAGTCTTAGTAAGACTCAAATGCTCACTATAAGAGTTGAAGCGCTTCACGGAAGCGTGCTGCTGTTCTTGATCTTTATTAACGATCTGTTTGGTATAATGAAGTAAGCGGCACCGATCTATGCAGACGATGAAGAGATGTGGAGTTCCATGTGAAGAGGAAGGGATTCCCTAGAGCTTAAGAAGGACCTTAATACAATAGAGTAATGAACGGTAAACAATTGGTTGAAACTTGACTTGTTAAAATTTGATGTCATAAGAATTCTGCCTCAATTGACATAAAGCTCTTGCACCCTGCATAGAAATCCTCTTCCGATCTCAGGCTTGCAACCACGGATTGGTTAGACATGTACTCAAACTACATGAGTTTTCGGCCAAGGCAACACACAACTCTCCACTGTATGCGAAGACTACGTGGCGCCGTCACCCCAGAGTTTTTCCTAACACAACTTGAGACGTACAATGGCCCTACCTTCCGGTTTATAATTTCATTGCGCCCTTCTCTTCAAGAGAGATGTAAGTCCCTTTGACGAAGTACGTAGATGGGCAACCAAGTGGCATACAATACATTAAGTACACCAATCCACCTAAATAAGTGCACATTATCAGAACATCACCGTCATACTCCTCCAGGCAATCCTCGACAGATTGCATATCAAAGAGCGAACATACAAATACTCACTCACTTCTCCTCATTAAGAGTTGCTCAAATTTGGAATGCTATCCCGGACAAAGTGACTTAACAGACATGTACTCAGTCATGAATAAGCTTCTTCCTCGTGAACTGACTGTGTCTGACTCATGTCTCAAAAATTACCACGACTGTCATTACCGCATATCGGTAACTAACTTCTGTCTCACTTGTTGTCATCTCCGTCCCCACTCTTATTCTTTCGATTCCGTTAGCCTACACACTACCAATTACGTAGATGATTTACTTATTCCTGAGTTAATCGTCTTCTCACAGTACTGGGATCATCACTTGATTATCTTCACATTTTAGCCGACCAACATCTTATCTGTTGATGTGATAGCTGCTAGTATCTAGGATCTCTACTGCCCTGAGACAAACACACTCACTCAAACTACAAGACATACAAGTCCAATCTATCTAGATGTACTTCTCGAATACCTGACTGTAGAAGTTTTGGAGTTAGCTGATAACGCCGCTCGTGGTAACAAGAAGACTGACATCATTCCAAGACATTCATTCTATTCCAAAACAAATATCTGACTAACTGACTAGAATTAGTATGGTCGAGTGCCTAGACTACCATACATTGGACATCATCAAATACCTGGAAGCGTACCGTAAACAGCAAGAAGTGAGTGCAAAGAAATCATTCGATTTCTGCAAATATATTGGATATTGGGAGTGCATGCACATACCAAAAATGAAGCTCGTAAACTCAGTCTAGTATATACAGTTAAACACCAAGTTTGACCTTGGTTGCTTGATCTGTGTGGCAAATGCGCGTGTATCCCTCTCGGTTAGTTCGATTATCTTTAATCTCCCTACTATTTCTACTATGTATCGCTATTAAATATAATAAATATTTGGATAAAGTCCTATCTGGGCCTAATTCTATGAGCCAACTTATCCGAAATCTAGATTTTGCTAGCGAACATAATACAAAGCCATTTCAAATTGACTGGGAAAACTACTCACTGACTGCACTTGAAAGTTCGAGAGTGGGACCTGGAGAGAATGGTATGCCTTTTAAACTATCCTATCATGATAAAGAACTATCCAATAAAACTATAAATGAGAATGGATTTAGTGTGTATGTCAGTGGAAAAATCAAAATAGATAGATCTATTAAAGACATCCGCCATCCACGTTGTAAAGGAAAACTATATTCCAGCAACCTTCCTACTGTTTCAGTGATTATTCCTTTTTATGAAGAGCATTGGGAGACTCTCCTACGCACAGTCGCATCGGTTTTGAATCGAGCTCCCTCAGGATTAATAAAGGAAGTAATTCTGGTTGATGATGGAAGCTCCCGAAAATACTTGAAAGATAGACTTGATAGTCATCTTGCAACTGCGTACTCAGGTGGTGTAGTACGTGTAATTCACTTGGAACATAGAGGAGGTCTTATTCGAGCGAAAACAGCGGGTGCCAGAGAAGCTACCGGAGAAGTACTGATATTCCTGGATTCTCATTGTGAAGCTGGAATAAATTGGCTCCCACCGCTACTTGATCCGATTGCTGCGAACTACAAAACAGTCGTTTGTCCATTTATTGATGTAATAGATGCAGATACCTTTGAGTATCGTGCACAAGATGAAGGGGCTCGAGGAGCATTTGACTGGGAATTGTACTACAAGCGGCTTCCACGATTACCAGAAGATAGATATCACCCTGAAGAGCCTTTTGATAGTCCAGTGATGGCAGGAGGTCTGTTTGCTATCAGTGCGAAGTGGTTCTGGGAACTTGGAGGCTATGATCCTGGTCTTGTTATTTGGGGCGGAGAGCAATATGAGTTATCGTTCAAGATTTGGATGTGTGGAGGACGTATGGTCGATGCTCCGTGTTCTAGAATAGGTCATATATATCGTAAATACTCAACTAACTTTCCGAAGGCAGAATTTGGGGACTTTGTTGGTCGTAATTACAAGTAAGTAAAATAGTTGTATTATTTTACTGAATATCTCGGACATCATCTACGGTAGCTTCCGTCGAGATGTCAAGTTTCTTTCTAACACGTAATAATATTGAAGTTTAAGATAAAGTACACTGACGTGTGCGAAATCGACATATATTTTATTCCGTTCGTTAAATTACTTTAGTGTAATTTTTACCGCACATTTATGATTCGTGTACGCAATTAAAATCTAGGATAATTACTTTTGTGGAGTTCAGGTTCATGTACTTTATATGAGAAGTGGTGACAATATCTAACTCTCCAATGGTATATGTTGGCGAAATTCATACCTGTGATCGCGAAACCACCATTCCTCTAATTTTCAACTACATGACGGCTCTAGTGTCTCTTATGTCCAATCAGAACCAATCTTTGTACCCTTATTATTAATTAACTGCATCACAAACCGACTAGTTGACTACATACCAAGAATAGAATTTATTCACTTCAGATTAGTGCGATTTGTAAGCAAGAAATATGCAGGTAAATTACTAATTGAACCTAGATAATAGGTTGTTAAATTCTGAAAGTAATGACGTACAACTTGAAGTGAATTTCACCTACATAATCTGGCGTTACCAGCTGTCGATGGCTGCTATCAATTTGGATTCATGTTACCATTCAGATAGGAATAAATCAATTTAAATTAGTATCATATCCCAGCACTATACGGTCCCCGAATACCCTGGTACGGCCGAGAGCGGGGACAGTCCGCTCTCCCTCTCGAAATGCTCTGACATTGTCACGTGTATATAGCCTCTGCCAGGGAAGTCCTACTCACTGCCTTCTCGTGGCGGGGGTGTTGTTTACGAAATTGAGAGGACGAAAAGCGGATGTCCGGCGATTTAACCGGGTTGGTGCACACCGCGAGTTGGAAAACTCTGATTCCAAATCAATGGTGCACATGGACTCCAGTATCCTGAGGGGACAAATGGCGTATGAGTCAATCGTTTGTCACCGGCTACCATGGGACTGCATCTCCTTACTATGTTTCACTGTCTTGTGGGTTAGATCTTTAGGTCAAAGGCTCCGGGTGTGGCCCTCTAAGAAAACCACCCGCCTCGGTTTGGGCACCTGGGCAGTATCACAGCCCTCACACAAATCGAATGAGATTTGTGTGGCGCATACGTATTCTGTGCCCCTTTGTACCAATGTTTATGTGTCTAAATAAATAAAATGCGGTCAGAAGTGTAATATTAAATAAATGTGGCTAGAAGATGATGATCTTCATGACTGCTCAAAGTGTGCTGTCACCATTTAGTTAAGTCATAAAGAAGTTTTGTATCACGTCACATTAATAGAAAAATCTCGCAACGTAAAGTGGAGGGTAAATATGGATAAGGCAGTAACCACCACCGTTGAAAAGTCGGGAAGCACATTTTCACCTACAGAATATATCTGAATGCATAAAAATCATCATTTTAACCCAGGACACTTCAATTTGATAGGTTGACCTTTTCTTTATTTCGCATAACATGCTAGCTTGAATAACTTATGTGTGGTCAATATCTACCTGACTTCATGAAAGTAGAAGTAGTGGACTTTTTGGTGATAACCACAAGTAAGTGAAATAGTTGTGCTATATTTCAACTATTATCTGGGACCCTCTATACATTAGATTTGTTTAAGATTTCATAGTATCAGTCGACATCGACTCAAATATATGACCCCTGATTTACTAAAAAAATAAGTGTTTTTTGAAAACTTCCAAAGTATCCAGTTCGATAATTTAGCTTTATTTTCTACACTACATATCTGATTAACTTGAATGAATTTAGAGGATAAGTCATCCTCATACTTTCACCTCAGATCATTCGTCTGTCTGAAAATATGACCGAACTACATATATAGTGTGACCAGATGCTAGTAATTATTCAGTCAGTCAGTCAGCTACAACGTAGGACGAGGCACACATATGCATCGGTCCAGGTTGCCATATCTCGTTAGCACAACAAGATGAACACCGGATTCATAGAAATAGTTAATTTAGTGGTGGTAGTATATATAAGATAGGTTGTATATAAGGACATAGTATAGGAAGGAAGATTGTTATGAAACAATTTTAATCTTAAGGTTTAAAGGAAGATAAAGAGTGTATACACCTGCGCCGTTGTGATCGATTCTGAGCCATGTCACCTAGAGTCTCCAACCATTGGTTACGATAGTCACGCAGACCCCAACCAGGTAGTCTGCATCTGCCAACATGGCTCAGGCTAGAAGATAGTGACTTCAAGCACTGATGCTATGTTTTGGTTTGGCCGCCCCTAACTCTCTTCCAACCATCCCCTACACTAGTCAACATTGCGCGTCGTGGTAATCGATGTTCAGGCATACGTAACAAGTGGCCCAAACACCTCATCAACTGATTTACCGTCATTTCTTAATATCTTACGTCCATTCTTACTATTATTTACCCGGTGATCCCAGCAGATGCGAGCAATATTTCTAAGACATCTGTGGTCAAATACTAGTAACTTGCGAATATCTTCTACTCCTAATGGCCACGTTTCACAGCCTTAAAGTAGAACAGAACGAACTGCTGCGTAGTATACTCGTCCCTTCATTGATAGACGGATATCTCGTCTTCGCCATAGCTGACGTAAGTTGACAAAGGCCAAACGAGCTTTTTGAATCCGTAATGAGATTTCCTCAGACACCAACCCATTAGGGCTGGTCAGACTTCCAAGATAAGTGAAGTTGTCCACGCTTTCGACTACTTCACTCCCCTTAGTTCAGGTGTTGACGCAGGTCAGTCGTGAAGTAACAATTTACATTTAGATGGGGAGAAACGCATTCCGAACATCCTGGAATTACTACTCAATTCTAACAGAAGACTCTGCATTTTGTAAGCGTCTTCACCAAACAGGACTATATCATCTGTGTATTCTAAGTCGATAAGTGGACCTCCTGGTAGGAGATCAATCCCTGAAAATTCAGTCGACGAGAGTGTTATTTCCAGCAACAGGTCTATAATGAAGTTAAAGAAAAATGGGAATAGTGGACAGCCTTGTCGGACACCACTTGAGGTTGTAAAAGCATATGACTGTTCGCCATAAGCTCTCACTCGACTGATAGTGTTCGAGTAAAGAGCCTTCACAAGGTTTATGTACTTCTCAGGTACACCTTTCAATGACAGACACTGCCACAGTACCTCTCGGTCTACAGAGTCAAATGCTGCTTTCAAGTCAAGAAAAACTATCACTGTCGGAGTTATTAGTAGATATGGTCAGTGAAACATAAGTTCTTATGATTTGGTAAATGTCAACTGCACTGTCTACTGGTCGTGATATTTTATTCCGTATCAGCTCGAAAGTGACAGAGGTAGAGTCTGGGTTGCGCGATTAGTAAAAATGTTAGCATTCAATCAAGTCTATGATTATTTTCAACCCTTCAGAGTAAATACTTTGGAAGTGTTAAAGATATAACCACGAAGATGGTTAGTTCTCTGTTGTTTCAGTTATGAAAGATATAGGACCGCAAACAAGTTCCCTCAAGTCTGCTTACAGTGATAGCGTTTTGGCTACTTTGATAGATAGTAACAAAGGGATTTTAGGGTTTGAACTAGGCTCCGTTTACGATCCACTCAGTCAGGTTGGCCACATATAGGTTTACAAAAACTTCTGCTATTTAACGTACCTGAACAAATGGAGTTATTAGGAAACTTGAATAATCATTTTCTCGCTTCTATATAAACTTAGGCGGCAAAATATGAACTCAGTATCACTAGACAGCATGGAATAATAATGTGATAGGTGGGACTTCTATGTGTTAAAATCGATGATTTACTGTTGCTGTTTTGTAAATAGTCATCCACATCCAAGCTCAATCTTCTGTTTATGTAATCAGAATCCAGACTTTAATATAAGCGAGTTAGATGTATTGATAAAGTTACGAAACTGTCTTGACTGAATGAATTCGAATGTCTCTATTTACAGCAATCATTTATTAGTGTCCGATGTTCGGTTCAGTAGACGTACCATAGAGAAACAAGTTTAATTCACTTTGACCGAGGAACGATGACCTGTGATAGTGAATGGTGTCAAAGTGGAATATCCATTCTTATTTGTGCATTCCAGAAGAGTTCTTCATCAATCAGTTAAATAGTTAACAGAATATTGTTACCATAGTATGAAATGTTGCGAACAGCTTCGGCTAAATGTTTGAGCTAATCTAAGCGTACTTTACTTATAATACACTGATGTTGTTAAAGAAGTTAATAAATGTAAGGTAAATATTTTTCTTTTTTTACTGAGAATTATCGCTTCCTTCATAGACGCGTAGCAGAAGTTTGGATGGATGAATATAAAGAGTATCTGTATAAACGGAGGCCAAGATACAGGGATTTGGATGCCGGTGACTTGACTAAGCAGCGTGAAATCCGAAAGAAACTTAAGTGCAAGTCATTTAAATGGTTTATGACAGAAATAGCATTTGATTTGGTTAAGAAGTACCCACTCATAGAACCAATATCTAAAGCTTATGGAGAGATTCGATCGGTTGCCGACTCACATTTATGCTTGGATGTAACGGATGCAAATGAGTATACTCCAGTTAAATTGCGTCCTTGCACTAAAGATAATCCTGATGTCATTGGTGTCCAAAAATTCGAATACAGCTACCATGAAGATATTCGAGTTATGAAGCAGTGAGTTTCGCCTCGCCTTTCAAACTTACAGAAAAAGTTTTGTTTTTATTGATGTGATCTAAACACCTGTTTCTGCACATGTTGAAAATTCACATAACTCACTGTGATATTTGAAACTAGGGTCCATTATAATTAGTTAATTCATAGCTTTTACTTAAAACATGTACCATGTGCATTATTATTACAGGATGTAACCATTTTTGTCAGATGTTTGAGCTAAGCAGCTCAAATTTCACTGGCTTGTGTTCGTATTTTACACCGTTCCTCCTCGATATTTACGTATAGACTGTCGTTAATGCCAATAAAATATCTGGTTGAACACTTTCAGAGATGGCTGCTGACTATCATTGTTATCACTAACAGAGTAAAGTTCCAATGTTTGGTAGGACTGCCTAATTTGATTTCCCAATTAAGAAAAACGTCCATGGGCCATTGGCTATATCTGTTTTGTGCAGGCTAATTGTTTGCATTGGATTCGGAATATTAAGCAAACATTCATTGCTTATTTATTCATTTCATTTTTGATACAAAATAACGCTTAGTACAATATTGGATCAAGCTATGGACCACAAAAGATTAAATGACAAATTCATAGAAGCTGAAATTTTTTGTTGGCAACATTTACTGAATCATGCTGTTCATTATTTCCAAACTAACGTTACCACTTACACTAAAAACTCATTTAATGTTATTCAATATATTTTTGCCGCTTGGAGAAGTATTCCGATTTAGGTATATGGGAATACTGCATCTAAGTATTTTGTTAATCATGCTATCTACTATATAGAAAGCCCATCGGACTAAGTTACCTGTTTTTTGTTTGTGTCTGATTATAAGGTTCAAGATCTGTTTCAGTTTCATCCACTAAAGAAAAGTAAAATGTATTTCTAGCGTACGAAAATTTCAGAAACTGATAGTTTGCATTGCTTTTAGCTTTCATCCTGTATTTGATTTGT